TACCCAGAAAAATGGTGTCCAGAGAAAATAAATGGTGTCCAGGAAAATGGTGGCAGAGCAAATACATTTCTTAGTTTTATTTAATTTTAATCAACCTGAATTTAAATCAGTACATGTGACTTGTGGGTATCTTATTAGACAATGCAACTAGATTATAAATAACCCCTATTCTCAAGAAACTAATTATTCCTGATAAACTAAAAACATTTAGTTCCTACTGCAATAAACCTGAGGTCCTCACCTGTATCCACAGTGACCCCATGCAGGCACTCTGAGATTCAGCCTGAAACATTACCATATCTTACCAAATCTTCTCTACAATAGTGCTAACCTCTACACTCTACTCAACATTTCCAAACCTGTGTCACACAGACCACAAAGCATTTTTCATCTAGTCATTACTTTCTTTTTGCCTCCTCTTAATCAAATTGACAGAAACTAAAGCACAATCCAAAGGTATCAAGCAGAGCTGCTAAAATGAAAAGGAGACAGTGGAGAAGCATGCTTTTGCACTAACCTTTCATGTCTAAAGACACGGATTCAAATATAAATCAAACACTAAAGCTTGGTAGTCACATCCAAAACCCCAGGTGGATATGCATCCAAGTCATAAAACTCTTACAATATGACAAGCTGAAAATGGAGCAGATGGGAACAAAGGGCAAATTTGCTCAAGTAAGGCCCACAATCATTAAAAAGCTCTGGGTCATGGACAATGAAAATTTAACAAATGTCCTAGAAGTCTGGCCTTTTATTATTTTTACAAATCAATTCAAACAAAAAGACATTTTATTAGTAAAAACTAATTAGGCAAATTTAGAGATGGGAAAGAGAAGAGAATGAGGATGATGGGAGAAAACACAGTGTATTTCTTCCTGTTCCCTACTGAAAGTCTAAGAAATACAAGTTACAAAAAATAAGACCTAAACTAAAAACTATTCAGTTTTGTTTCCTTTACTCTCACTCATTTTTCTTCAAAGGAAAACTAGGTATGTTCACAAAATGGTGTAAAATCATTAACAAAATTAATTTCATAAAAATTCTGAAAGGATCTGACTTTTAAAAAATGTCAAGCTTGGAAAGCAGGCTTTAATTTAAAGCTTCAGTTATTCAAATTGTAGTCAAAATTCAACTTTCGTAGCTGAAATATAAATCAGAATAAGAGTATTGTCCAGCTTGGAGTTGAGGTTCTTTGCTTAATAATTACCTAACACCATATTTCATAGGCCACTTAAATAGTTAATCTTTATTTCACAGTCCTCTTGTCCCATTATCCCTAGGCAACCAAGACTGAAGCAGTTCTATAACTCAATAAACTTTCTTACATTGCAGTCAGAAAACTGTAACTCTGCTTTTTACTTAGGCTCATGGATACTATGCAGGGTAGCTATGTTTTGCTATTATTAACACTTATGTACAACTTTTTACTCTTAAGCCAACTAACTGCCTTCTCAACAATCAGAAACAACTCTAAATTCACTGACCGTAAAATCAAAATGCAACAGGAAATAAGCCATTAGCAGTTTTAAATATTTAAACCTCATCTATTTCAACAGTCATTTCTTTTCTTAAAATGGGAGTAAGAGAGCATTACATTTACTATCTCTGCTCCTTTTGTACGAAAATGGGAACATGGATCATACAAATTCTTTCCCAGTTTTTAAAAGTTTAGTACACCAAAGACAATTGCAAAATATTTTGAGGAAGTGGCAATCTAACTAAACATCTTTTTAAAATGTATAACCAGAAAAACAAGAGGGAGAGAAAGAAAGCTACTGTAGCACAATTTTAAGAACAAAATAAATATGTAAGTATAATTTTAACTTAAGAATATAAGTATCAAAGTATACTCTCTAGTAAGTTAACAAGGTAAGACCATAAAGAGTACCAAAGCACATTTTCTCCAGTATAAGGCAGGGTAAATGGACCATGCTTTGGGTGAAAAAAGAGTTGTTTTTCAGGAATCCTACTCCAAACATTTAAGTAAAGAAGCAGGTACTGGGCTGGCCAGTTAGCTCACTTGGCAGAGCATGATGCTGATAACACCAAGGTCAAGGGCTGAGATCCCCATATGAGCCAGCTGTCAAAAAAAGAAAAAAGAAAAAAAAAAGCAGGTACTAATCAAACAACAACAAAATCTGAAAGCATAGCCACATCATTCACATTAGGCAAGCCCTGTATAACGCTTCACTCTAGGAATACAACATTCCAGAAGACAAGGAATGACATGAAGACAATATATTCACAATTGCAAACTGATAAACACAGCTTCATTCTCTACTAAAGTGATAACTATATCAAATCTAGACAGATAAATAATCTCAATTATTTGCTATGTGAGTATTTTTAAAATCATAGGATATGATCACAAGACCTTAGAAACCATCCATTCTAAACTTTGATTTTACACGCTCAGAAACTGTTGTCCCTGAGTTGGTAGAATAACCAAACTCTGACTCATAGTACAGTGATCTTCCCACTGTAAAGTGCTTCCAAGTGCACAAACTTCCAATTTTGTCAAATCAAAGACATCATTTTTAAACATTCTTCTTCAACAGTATCAGGGATATAACAGGTTCTGAAACTTCAAACAGGAGGATAAACTGCTATATCAAAAAGAATGGAATATATTAGCCCAAAGTGCCAAGAAATAAAAGCTTCCTTCAAAGAGGAAGCAGTTCCTTAAAAATGCTACAAACAGGATGCATTTTTCCCCTTAAAAAAAAGTAATTACTAGTTTTGAAGGTTTTTAGTTAGTCTTTGGGAAACATAAATTAACCCTAATGCAAGCCGTCACAGCACAGCAAGTTCTAAAGCCTCCACTCCATTCAGAAGTTAAAAGTACGATTTTATTAGGGGTAAAAGAACATGAAAAGAACTTGGCTCCAATTACCAAGAGAAAGACTGTAAGATACTTATTCTCATTAAATTGTATCCCCATTGTAAAGACTTAGAAACCAATAAAGCCCTACCTCAAAACTGTTAGCCATTCTAAGCAATGCAGACAACACATGAATTTTAATAACTATGTCTTGAAAAAGTGGGACCCAAGTTGCCATACTCTAAAATAAAGAATTTAGACTGTTGATGATAACTCTTACCAATTAACAAAAACTTTAAGACTTCTTTCCAATACCTCATTTAGCTCTGCATATACTCAGTCATCATTTCTAGAGCTGCTAATGTGCGTGGATAACTAAAAGAATAAATATGAACACCCATAAACTCCAGAGGTTACTGTTTCAATAATGAAGTTAATCATTATCAAATCACATATTTTTCTACTACAAAATACGAGGTAAAATGAGAAATATATACTATAACATTGTGCTACATTAAAAAGCCAGAAATCTAATTCAAATTCCAATGACTACACTAAATATATCCATGTTTGAAAAATACCATCATTGTTATGAAAATTATTTTTGAAACTTCCATCAAAAATAATTAGAAAAAATTAGGAACATGTGAACAGAAGCCTAAATAATTTGTTTAATAGAAAAACAAAGTGTATAAATTGCACAACTATACAGCTTTATATTTCTTTTCTCATTTTTCCCTCAAATTTAGAATTTCATCTAGAATGCAAATCATAATGCTGCTCTCAAAAGACAATTTAAGAACTTTTGCTTCTTCAATATATGCCACATTCCTCTTGCCCCTGAGAGTTAACCTTTTTCATATTATAGTGACCCACAGGCTATAAATGAGCTGATTCTAATAAAATTTCTATTAACTACCCAAGGCTTATAAAAGTCACAGAGAGTAGTTTAAATGAAAGTTTACTGCTAAGATAAACTATTATAAAGAGAAGTTAGATATATGAGAAGTTTGAGAACTTTTCTATATCCCATGTAAAAATGTAAATGAGAATGAGTAGCTGAACTGAATATTAAATTTTGTTTGTTTAATTACGAAGGGTTGAGGTTGACAACAGTATATGATCAATATGCTTAGGAGGTAGCTATGACATCATTTCTCTAAAAAGAGCAATACAAAAAGACACAGAATGTGTCAACAAAAACTTTATGTTGAAGCACAAACTCTAGCCAATGCAAGTACTTATTCTCTATAATTAAGATTTCTTCCATATGTAAATAGAGGCAACAAGCTATTATATGCTTGGCATCAAAACTTTCTCCAGACGTTAAAGAGCCATCCATACTAACATTGCAAAGGAAACATACAGGCAAAAATTAAAAGTAAGTCTATTAACAAAAGAACTGTAAAAGGATCCTTAAACAGTATCTAACATAGTGCTCTGTGAAAGGAGATTCATAAAATAAGTTATATAGTTGCAATTTAAGCACAGAATTGAGTTTTGTTTTTATATTTCTAAATGAAAACACTTCATTAAAATAATTTTGAAAGAAAAAGGTATAATTCAGTCTATTTATAAAGGGGGGGGGGTGTTTAGACTAGTTAATTGTATAACAAATCTTCACTTCCAAAAAACATAAGCATCTCTAGAATCTAAAGTCACCAAAAAGGTAGTTGGTCATCTTGAACATATCAGTAAGAGGTACATATTTTCAAATCTGACAGAATTCCAGACAAAAGGCTACATACTGTACGATTCCATTTTTAGAAATGTGCAGAATAAGAAAATACATAGAGATAGAAAGTTAAGATTAGCAGTTGTCAGGAGCTGAATGGAGGAAGGAATGGGGAGTAACTGCTAATGGGTACATGGCTTCTTTTAGGGATGTTGAAAATGTTCTAAAATTATATAGTGGTGATGATTACATAATACTGTGAATTCACTAAACCTTCAAACTGTACATTTTCCACGGGTGAATTTTATGATATGTAAATTATATTTCAGTACAACTATCACTAAAAAGTTAAATTCAAATTTTTTAAAAAATCTGACAGAATTCATAATATCATGGTATAGTACAATAGACATCATTCAGAGCTTTCCACCTGACCCAAATTCTCTTTCTCACCTTGGCAAGGCGGCTCATCTGATCTTCTGAGAGAGTGCTGCTTGTTCTGCCAGGAGTTTTTGTGGGTTCGGATCCATCTGCTTCTACATTAGGCCAGACTTTCAAGTCATGCATCCCTTGGCGAAACATGCTAGGGGAGACGAGAAATTTTCAGGACAAAAGCAGACTAATACAGTTCATTATTGGAAATTTTAGATTCCTAAAAGCAAAGAGATTTCTACACAAGGAAAGGTATGTTTCTGTTGCCAAGCTTTAAGCCCAAGTGGGTTGTAAAGTAATTAACTAAGCAACCAAAATCTGTGCAACACTGTTTTTCACATGTCATGCTTTTCTCCTCCAAGCAGTCAGAACTACAGTCATGCACTGCATAACAATGTTTTAGTGAAGGACAGACCACATGTATGACCATGACGGTATCATACAGCCTAGGTGTGCAGGCTGTACCATCTAGGTTTGTGTAAATACACTCTATGATGTTTGCACAATGACGAAACTGCCTAATGACGCATTTCTCAGAATGTATCCCCGTCATTAAGCCACACATGACTGTATTACAGAGAATTCTATAGGTAGAGTGGAAGGAGAAAAGAATCGATAATCATCACATACTCCATCCCTGCCGTGGAGATCTTAGAAATAATAGAAATCAAATTTCTACCCGATGGAAGAATGCCACTTACAATGACTGAAATCAAAATTTAAATAATTACACAACTGTTTTCTTTAAGTGACAATTCAGCATAGTAGACTGTAGAGGCAAACTGCCTGGGTTTGAATCCCAGCTGTGCTATCTATTATCTATGTGACCTTGGGTAAGTTACTCGACATCTCTGTACCTCAGTTTCGTCTTCTATAAAATGGGATTATAAAGAGTATCTGTATCTCACAAGGTTACTGAAAAAATCAAATAAATCAGTACAAGTAAAAAGTACTTAGAATAGTGACTGATACCTAATAAGTATTCAATAAATGTTAGCTATTATTATCCTTTTTACTGTTCACGTTGATTTTTCTCCTGTTTTCTTTTCCATAAGAGGGATGTTCTGAAAGTGAATACAATAATGGTTCATATACCAAAAAACGTGCCCATGTCTACAAATCAGAAATTTAGCATATAGTCAGAATTCAGCCTAAACTTGGTTATCCTGCTTCAAAGTGAAAAAATATATGACTTTCGATTATCACGTTTCCTTCAAGAAGTGCCAAGAAGATCTAGACTAAGGATTTAAAAAACTCATAAAGAGCTTTATAGCTATGTGTTTTGATTATGTAACTGTCAAAAGGTTCTAAGTTTGTTTTTTATGGGGCGGTACAGATGTTCTTCTGTTAGTGTTTTCTCTTTCTTAAGTGTTTTTGAACAAGGCCTTTCAAACAACATAAAGTCTACTTAAACAGTATCCCTCCCAAAGCTGAAAGAGCAAGTTACCAAATGCAACGGAAAGAAAAAGATGAGAAGTGTGTATAGGTGTAAGTAGGCAAGCCTAAAGCATTTTGCACACTTTTACATTTAAAGTAAGGTACATGTTGAATATATTGATTTTTTTTAATCTTAAAAAAAATTATCTACTAAACTGTAAAAGGTTAACATAAATTTTTGAAATCATTATTAAAATTTTCTGGCTAATAAATAGTTTCTCCATAGATTTTCCTGAGGTAATAAAGAGGATTTTCACTGAACATTATAAAGTGTAAGTAATGATGCCATAAACATTTAGATTGGGAACTATAAAGGATAGCTACAAGCTCATGAGCACAATAAGATTAAGAACCATATCTGTTATAAGATCTCTAAAGTTGGCAATAAAACAGGTAATTCCAGCAACCATATTTACAAAAGCTTACCTTACAGGTCCAATACAAAGTGCACTGACTGCTTGTGAAAAATCAAGACTGTTGATATTTATTTACCATGTTAAATATCTAAAAAAAAAGTTATATTACAAAAATAAGACCTATACATTCCTTTTATAAAGTTAATTTTTTTTTCCCCTTTCAACTGAGATACAGATTCAACAAGAAGCAGACTTGCTTAGAGCAGTCTCTAGGGAACTGGGAACAGTGAGATAATAACGCCACTTTAAATGAATATCCTGAAATGTACCTTCAGAAACAGCAGAAGGCTTCCCTTCCTTCTCTCCACCTTCCCACCCTACAGTGAGTATTTTGGCGGTTGAACTTAACTAAATCAAAAAGAAGTACATTTGGCAGGAAATAGGTTTACTAAATTATTTAGGTACCTTGGGATGGATCTGGAAAAGAGATTTAAGGATAGGGGACGTGGAGGGTAGAGGTGATGCCAAGTGATTCAAATGATCACATGAACATATTACTTTCTTTTGACACTAATGGAACCTTGCAGAGTTACACAGCCTCCAGGTGGCAAGCCAGAAGATGCTCAGAGCATAGTGTCCACTTGGGAAATTAAGCCAAACAAGCAAGACAGAAGAAACAGCACAGCAGGATCTGCTCCAGCAGAGGCCCCAGCAACAGCTGGTGCTGATGCTCCAGCTTGCAGTGCCAAGCCACTATAGCAGCAACTGCCTTGACTTCAAAATTCACATTTGGAAAAAACATCTGCAACTTGAGAAATCTGCACCTTGACTATGGTTCTTTGCCAATTCAACCTAATGATCAATCCATTCTTTAGCTACTTAGAAATTTCACAATCTAGACTTTCAAATTAAGGATAATAGGTATTCTAGTCTTATTCTAACAGACTAGTCTTTCAATTATTAATTAGACTATTCTCCAAGAAGTTCTGCTTCACACTGACTCAAGTATACAAAACAGATATTAGCAAGAGTTAGTACTCATAAGATTACCAGTACTCTAATACTACAATATTAGATGCTTTGAGAACCATTTTTAAAAGTTACTAAGTGCATACCAGACCCTTTAGCAAAAAAGGTGAAAGGTAATTGGTGTTATTTCATTGCATAAGAAACATCTAAGGCAGTGTTTCCTTCAGTCATGAGAACTATAATGTGACATGACATGATTTTTGATGACAGGTGGAAGAAAATTTGCATAGGCTCCCTACTGAGACCACCCAGAAGACTCACAGTGCTTTGTCTTCCTGGATGTCAGCAGCACCACTGCAGAGAAGCAGCTGTAACCCAGCAGCACAAGTAGATGTTTGCACTCTACTATAGCACCTGGAACATCCTGAAGATCATATTCTTCCACAGTCCAAAGCTGCACAATAAGTCCTGTAGCTGGCTAGGGAATGCCTGCTTTCACCCACCACAACCCAACCTCGCCCTCAGGGCAAAGCTCCTGAGAACAAAAAGGAGTTGTTTTAATTTCATAGGGTTTCTTAGAATTCCTTTTTCTGAGGTGAAGGTCAGTAAAAGCAGCAGCCTAGGGGGAATAGGAGCTGGTGATCTAGCTTTTTGCACTCCTTCCCCACTATTCAAAGTATCCATAGACCTAAATTAAAATCTAATGTTATCATATAGGAGTTGGACCAGTTTATAGAGAAAATGTTGATATAAAACCTTATCTTCACAAAACAAAACATTACCTTCACATTAAATTGACAGTGAGCTGAATATCCCCTTACACCTGACTAGGCACAAACAGAACGATTCTAAATAAAGAAGGACCTTTTTTTTTTAATAGGTATTGTATGCTATTTTGAAAATCAAATAGAATTAATACCATTTGTATTTCATTAGGATTTAGTAACATAGTTGTTCTCATTCTATTTAATTTTACTATTACCCACCAAAGTTAATTAATACTTTTTACAGGTACAGCATGGATATTAGGTTTTTTCTTTAAAATAAATGGAAGTAAAAAGTGAGCTGGTTTAAATAAAATAATCAAGTAAAGAAGAGTACACTTAGTACAGAGATATGACTGAAGTTCTGAAAGTGATGAGTAATGACTCCAGGTTGAGGAACACTGCTCTAAATATTTTCACAGAATCAAAGCTGCTCTCCAACACATTTCATTTGTATCTGACATCTGATGGATTCAGGACATGAAGGAACAGCGTGAACGATTTTCCAGTTAGAGTTAAGAGAAAACAGATGACTTTCCAATATTCAAGTCTTATTTTACTTAATGTCAGAAAAACGAATTTAAGTTTAACTCCTGCATATTGCTACTACTATCTTTATGGAATCCCTTGGGTTTTAATTACTTTTCTAAGTAGAACAAGTACTACTGATTTGTCTTTCAGGCATGTTTCCAGCTTGGTTTGGATGGGAGGTAAAAGAATTTTTCTTTTATTGGGATACACACAGAATTACAAATAAAGTGGACACCAAGGGAAGGAAGAAAGGAAGAAGAATGCATGAAAAAGAGCGGCACACGCAAGTCATACAAATAGACTACTATGATAGGTTAATGCAGAGTTTCTCAAAATGTGCTCCACAGACCACTTTTCACAGAATCACTCAAAATACTTATTTAAAATACTGATTTTTGGACCCCCTTCAGACCTACTGAATTGTTGAGAACAGTCCACGAAGGTACTTTTCTAGCAAGCTTTGCAGATGATTCCTATACACTGATTACTACTGATTTAATGCACTTTTAAAAAACTTGCCCAAAGTCAAGTAAAACAATGCCACACATGTCAATCTGAGAAAGAATTTATTTGGCTTTAGGCAGGTCATTTCACCGTATTTTTATAGAAAAAAAATTTTTCTTTTCTGGCGGTTGGCCAGTAACAAGGATCCAAATCCTTGACCCTGGTGTTATAACACCGCACTCTAACCAACAGAGCTAACCGGTCAGACCCTCTAGAAATTTCAGCTGTCCTGCTTCTCCAGCCTAGTCAGAAAATCTCCCTAAACAAGATTCTAAGGTTACCTTAAAATGCACATGAGTGCTAAAACAGGTGTTTTTATGAGGGAATCTCCAGTTGATATTCCAGGAGGTAACCACTTATGAAGAGCCCAGGAGGAAATGAGATCCAAGAGACCTGTCTGGCTGTTTCTCAAAAACATTTAGCCACTAAGAAGAGTAATAAACTGGTGTGCTTTTTTTTTTTTTTTTTTTTTTTAGTCTGTGACAAGCAAACTCCTCCCTAGTAGAGAAAAATAAGAAGAAGCAAACACTCTGGCAGAAGAACAATACTGATTTAGTAATATGGCTGTTCTGCTATAACTTGCTATTTTACCAAAAAGTACATCTAAAAACTGAATTTTCCACTGTGTGCTTATGAGGAAAAAAAAAAAAAAAGAAAAACTGGAAATTATGTTTTATACTATGTCTAAGGTATTGTTCCTGTATGGATTTCAATAACAAATCTCTTTAATACCTAAATGAAATTAAAATACCTAAAGATTACTAAGCAATCAAGCTGTTCTAAGTGGGAATATATTTAGATTTTATTCATGAGTTAAAGCCTTTCTGACCCCCCCTATTCCTGGATAGAAAAATTCACTATTATAATAGCATCAATTCTCTTCTGAATTAGAATATACAATCCAATAAAATTTCCTAACAAAATAAGTTTTTGGTTTTTTTTAATTGAGAAAATAATATTAAGATGTACCTAGCAGGGAGCTGGCCAGTTAGCTCAGTTGGTTAGAGCATGGTGTTACAACACCAAGGTCAAGAGTCCAAAAAAAAAAAGATTTATCTCGCAAAACAAAAATGGAGAATATCCAGAAATACTAAAAACATAAATTAATGAGTATTACCTCTACCTAATATTGAAACATTTTATAATAGTATTCTAAACTGACAGAATAGTCCAGAAACAATGATAGCTAATATTTATTGAGCTCATTATAATATTTATTAAATACATAAAAATATAATACATAAATATTAGGCTCATTAAATGCATTTAGTAACTTAACCATCATAAAACTATGAGGTGGATACTATTATTATCTCATTTTACAGATGAGGAAACTGAGGAATAAAGAGATTAAACTACTTGCCCAAGGATATACAAGTATTAACTTAGTCCAGTAATTGAAGCCAGATAATCTATTTCTACACCTTGTCTTCCTAACCACTATACTATACTCCTCTTAGACTTCAATACATGATGATTTGAATATATATGGGTACCATTTTGAAATAGCTGGAAAAAATGGCTTATTTAATAGTATTGTGAAAAATATACGAACTATTTGTTTTGTTTTTTTTAAACTGTTTCTCAATACATCAATCCTTTCACAAAAGTAATTTTAGATGAATCAAAGATTTAAATGTTAAAGAATAAAAGCATTACAGAAGAATGCCTTTTAAAACAAAATAATCTTAAATGGAAAAGACATTTTAAAGCATTAAATTCATAGTACAAAAAAAAATCTGATAAATTTAACATAATTTAAGGTGCATGAATAGCAAGCAAACAAGCAAACAAATATATACTAATTAAAAAGAACAAGCCAAACAGGAAAAACAATTTTTGTAACCTAACACACAAAGGGCTAATTATAATAATTACATTAATGTACATTAATCTACAAAGATTCCTTATATGTCAATAAGAAAATGACAACATAAGGAAATGCAAAGATTTTTACAGTATATGAATTATATCTCAATTAAAAAAACAGGCAAAGGACATCAAAAAGCAATTCACAGAAACACAAAAACAAATTGTCAATAAACCCATCAAAGTATGATCCTCCTCATTCATAATGATGGGCAAATTAACCAAAGAGATAAATAACATTTTTCAACTTTAAAATGGGCAAAAATTAAGACATCTGATAATACTCAGACTGATTAAAGTCTGTAACATTTTGCGCTGAAATAAACCAGAACTTCTTTGAGAGGTTCCAGGTCTGGAACAGAAAGCTACCCAATAAACCTGGAACAGTTTGTCTACTAGAAAGTAAAAAAGCTACCAATGACTACTAGGGCATTGTCAAAAGGACAAGGGGTCAACTTAAATGGGCTCCTACTGATTAAAAACAGGAATTTTTGAACGATAATATACAGAGTAGAGACAGCAATGGACTAAAATATATCAGAAAGGTTTAAGTCTAAAAGTTCATGACAAAACTTAAAAACAAAAAACAAAAAAGCCATTAACCATCACTTTTGCAGGCTACCAGGGCACCAACTCATTATTCTTACAATTGGTAAAGGGGAAAGAAAGTTAAATATTTACATGCCTTTCCTATATGAACTGTATACCAGGGTAACTAACTACTTGATAAAGGCCAAGATTTTTAGGGAGAAATTTTAAGTAAAAAATGCAGAAAAAAAAAACGAATGTCACCAATTCTTTAAAGACAGAGCTATCCCTCTGTCCTAGGGGAAAAGGGATGGATGGAGAAAAAATATCCTTCAGGACTATGAGATTCTGGTTTTGAGGTTTTGTTTTTTTTGTTTTTTTTTAATTTTTTACCATGAGTTTTATTATTTGTAAACTTTTTTAAAAACTGAATTAACAACTTTTCTATAACAACCATTATTATCATTAGCAAATTTAATCCTGCTTATGGCACTTTCTGTCACAATTATGATGAATCAGAAAAACTCTATAAGAAAGTAGTTATGGTATGTGCTAAATAGCCTTTTTTCCCTAAAATCAAGGTTCTAGTCCCCAAAGACTTCTATTTTCTAATAGAAATGACATTACCAATCACTAACAGTAGAGTAACATGAATTGTTTCTTCGTTAATCTATCTGTATATCCTATAAGAAATATATGTCAAATTCAGTCTCAGGAATAACCAAATCACTTGTACCTAACTGGTTTTCATGTGGAGAATCATCTCCAGAAAAGAAGGGGCCAGAAAGCTTCAACACTCGTTATAGGTTAGATGAACAGAATGCTTACCCATATTTTCCAAAGAGTGAAACAGTTGTTCCTCCTACAGGCACTGCTTTTCCTGGTCCATACACATCCCATATGGTCAGGGCCACTTGGGCATTCCTGGGCAGGTCAGGGTATTTCACAGGCAGTTTTAGCCATTCATTCCAGCTATGGAAATAAAGTCAACATAAACAGATACATATATCCTTCTTTCAAATTAACAAATCACACAAGAAGGTTTGGTCAGAAAAAAAGATTCCAAAAAGATTAGGTTAATACTCTATAAAATGATGTGGCAATCACCTTAATTTTGCTACAGGCAATTTCAATTTAAAATACAGAGGACATAAAAAATTTTTTTGAGAAAAAGATAGAGCTAATGAAAAATAACACTGGTAAATCCATTAATCAAGAAACTCAGACAATACTAAGACACAAGGGAATATGATAATGGGAAAACATTTCAACCTGTCAAAACTTTTTGAACCAAACTGTGATTTTTCTTTAACCATTCACCAGAACACAACTTTACATTATGAAGTTAAATTAAATCAAAATTACTCATATTATGCTCAAAACACTTCTAAGGATAATAAAGCAAAAAAAAAAAAAAAGAAAGAAAAAGACAATTAAAACACCAGACATTCGGGCCGGCCTGGTGGCGCACTGCTACAGTGCGCCGCTTGGGAAGCGCGGTGGCGCTCCTGCCGAGGGGTCGGATCCCACATACAGACCGGTTCCCGCTCACCCGCTG